CCGAAAAGGCTTTAGTACCATAGACCACATACGCACCCTTTGGAAAACTGTACAGAAGTCCGAGAAGAACAATCTGTCACTTTGCCTTGCGTATGTGGACTATGAGAAAGCCTTTGATTCCGTCGAAATTTGGTAAAAGATACGGTATTAACGTCAAGGGCGAGTATATCACTCACCTTCGATTTACCGACGATATAGTCATTATGGCAGAATCGCTGGAAGACCTAAGCACTATGCTCAATGACCTCAATAGTGTCTCCCAACGGATAGGTCTTAAGATGACCATGGACAAAACAAAAGTCATGTGTAACGTCCATATCACACCTATGCCGGTAGTTGTTGGGGACACTAAGCTCAAAGTTGTTGACGAGTATACCTATACCGAGTTTACCTGGGACAAATAGTCCGACTAGGTAAGTCAAACTTCAACCGAGAGGTCAATCGACGGATTCAACTCGGCTGGGCAGCGTTCGGGAAACTACGACACATCTTCTCGTCAGGTATATCTCAGAACCCGAAAACGAGATTGTTTAACCAGTGCATGTTGCCAGTGATGACTTATGGATCTGAGACGTGGTCCTTCACTGCTGGCCGTATGAGGACGCTCAAGGTCACTCAGCGGGCTATGGAGAGGGCTACGCTCGGGATTTCTCTGCGTGATAAACTTAGAAATGAGGATATCCGCAGTAGAACCAGAGTTACCGACATAACCCAACGGATTAGTAAGCTGAAGTGGTAATGGGCCGGCCATATAGCTCGAAGAACCGACAACCGATGGGGAAATAAAGATTCTGGAGTGGCAACCACGTACCGGTAGGCGAAGTGTAGGGCGATCACCCACTAGATGGAGTGACGACATGGTAAGACATGCAAGAAATCTATGGATGTAGGTGGCTCAGGACCGTGCTTTGTGGCATTCCTTGGGGGAGGCCTATGTTCAGCAGTGCACTTATAGCTGATAATGTTGATGCTGTAGTGATGATGATAATGATGAAGGGCATTTTACCATAAGGTGGAATGTAACTTTGTTTCTCACTTTTGTTTTATAAAAAAAATAAGAAGAAAACACTTTTAATTGCATTTAAAAGCCTTTATTGTGCACATTTCTTATCTTTTTCTAAATTGAATTGTAGAAGAAAATAAAACACATGTTACCACCGTTTCAATTTAAAGTTTATATTTTGAATCTATTACTTTTAGTATAAAGACTGTTTGTATTTATTTCTTATCCAATAACATAACATTTAATGACCTTTCTATAAATATTATTCGTTCGCTCTGTATAGGCAAATATTAAAGCATGACAGTATATTTTGTTTCTTTTTTACATCCGAGGATCTTAAAAACCTGTTTGCATGGTTTAATATTATGTATTACTACATAACATTGAGTTTTTATTAGCGATTGCTATGAAATTAAAATCAATTTATTTTAACCGTATATAACTGTAGTTATATTAAGGTTCGACGTATAAATTATAAATGAAATAAATAAAAACTAATACTTGTATCGAATTTTAAGTATCCACCATAGCAACAAAGACCTGTACCCAATATTGGTAGAAATAAAAAATAAAAAACAGCCAGTGTGATCGCGATATGTACAGCAGACAAAGAAGGGTCATGTAGTTTGCCTGGATAGTTCCAGAGAAACCCACGCCCATCGTTACAGGGGTGTGAAGCATGTTATTTTTTAAAGTTATTGAAAAAAATCACCAACTAGAAATATCACGAATTGGGTAATCTAGTATAATCTATATTCACATTAAATATGTGTATAGAGATATATATAATAAGTGTAAGTATAATAAGCTAACCAACATACAAATATTAAAATGATATAAATATACAACGCAGGACTTGCGCGGTATTTTTACTTCTATAATAAAAGCAAATAAATGTTAGTCATATATGTTTCCCGGTCAAAAGTAGTTATGGCTGAATTTCTGGCCTGTGCTAATTTTGACCGAAGGCTGCAGTCAGAAGCACTATGTTATCGGCCAAACCCGATTTTATTACAAACAAGTTTTTAGTAGACTAAATTAGTTTCATCTAGTTAAGCCTGCCAGACTTACAAAAAACTATATATATATATATATATATATATATATATATATATATATATATATATATAAACGATTTGTAATTGTGTGATTTTTACTACCAGTCTTGATCTAAACAACTTTGACTGATATTTTTTAGTCAAAAATACTTTGAACTGTTTTTGTTTATAAAAAAACCTACTTCAATTTTTGAACGTAACAACTCTAAAACAATATATTAATAATTTTCAATGTGTAAAAGGATTTTTACAAAGTGTCACCTGACACGCAAGATTTGATTAAAGGCTGCAGCTACCATATGGTCGCGGTGATGTTGGTGGTGATTCTTATCATCCCATTTCGTCATATGGGTATCATAAGAGGCAACTACGAGTATGTTAAACTCCACGAAGATCACATGGCTTTTGTTAGTATGTGGTATAACCTTAACGTTAGGAATAGGCGTAAAATATCAAGACTAGTGACGAGAAGCGGTGTTGAAGGTGCTAAACATCTGGTACTGTGATCGTCAACCAACCTGCATATGGTGATTAAGCAAACTCTCACTATAGTGAGAGATCAGAGATGAGAGTTCAGTAGTGCACCATTACGGAGTGATAAAGAAGACGAAGAATCAGCGCAGCAAAACTCACGATACCATTCACACCATCTGGATGCTTGGCGGTCCAGCACTGTGCGTTTTACTAGTTTTCTTCCTCGTACGACCCCTCTGTGGAATCGTTTACCACCGGCGATTTTTCCTGATTGATACGACTTAGGGACCTTCAAGGAAAGTGTTTACTCCTTCCTAAAAGGCCAGCAACGCACCTGCAATTCTCCTGGTATTGTAGTTGTTCATGGGCGGCGGTAGTTACCTTCTATAAAAAAAGATAGATCTCGCAATCAAAATTGGTACAAAGAGAAGCTTACAATTTCATCTTATTTTATTTGTTTTAAATTCTTTAAGATCAAAGCAAACACAAACAAGATGAAACACTAATGAGGAAAAGTTTCTGTAGCCATTGTTTATAAATGAAACATTTGTACAACACAAACACATATTATACCAGATTTATTATCGCTGTTATTGCAGTTTTTCTATTGTCTTCAATTACCTGCTTCTTTATCCGGGTATTGAGCTACGTCAGGAACTGTGACGATTGTAACCAAAGTGGTAATTGACATCCTTTAGTGATTATTTGTAGTTATAGTAGTAATCAAATATAATAATAATAAGTTAAGCTTAAATTTTATAATATGTGACCAACCTAAATCTAGAGCAGCCTCGCGAACTGGCTTCTGAACCATAACAAATTTAATAACACTACCAAACAGCGGTATTTATGTGAATTATGGTAATTTCACGGCGAGTATTGAAAATACGACAAATTTTTACTTCCTTTTAGCTCAGGGACTACAACACCTATGTAGGTAAACTTGGAAAGGAAAACATTATCTAAATACAAAGTTTCATCCAAACTGTTAGAGCCGTTTTTAAGTAACCATATATATAAATACTACAATATTGAAAGTCAGTTACACTCTTTTTACCGTGTAGGCGGAGTAAGAATATCCCATATCATCCCGTGGGTATTGTAAGCGGCGACAGATGGAAATGAATCAGGAGATGGGCAGCAGCGTGTTTCTAATAACGACTAAACATTTAAAAAAACTACGGAAACTATGGCAAATATTCCACCTACGAGATAATCTGTTTTAATTAACTGATCCGGTACTTCTTTTTCATCGTCATCAGCCTGCATGAGTCTTCTCCTGTTGCAGGGAGGATTTGCCGTTATCGTCACGCTTGGCAGGAGTATTGACAAACGCAGTACCAGGCGTATCGAACCATTGATTGGCACCTCATTGCCAGTCTGATTATTTTATGTCTGGTGCAAATGAAGTGATTATAACGCCATCTATCGGAAGCTTTCAGATTTTCCTGGCACTTCCCATACTTATCTCTTATTACATCTACGGGACCATGAATAATGGAGGAGTAATTTACTCTTTTATGCTGCCACCATTTGCCGTTGATCTTCCACTGGGATTTGATTTTTTTAACGTGGTAGAGCCATGCTGCAGCTATATTAATAGTATAGTTGTAGCACGAATGGGTCGACTCGACTGGGGAAGGACCACGCTCTCACAGAACACCAGCGTAAAATAGCAGCTTAATGCTGCTGTGTTTCGTATGGTGAGTGTAGAGAACCGGAGACCCTTTTTACTGGAAAATAGGCATTCTATCTTAGTCCTCATGGCTGACAACGTATCTGCATTTTAATTCGCAAACGAAGATAGCTGCAGATGTCTATGGGCCACAGCAACCACTTACCATCAGGTGGACTGTGTGCTCGTTTGTCACTCTAATTCTATAGAAAAAATACTATAAATTATCCTATTAAAATATAACCAGACAATTTAAGAAAATACAATATTTAAAAATGATAAGTCAATTTATGTATTTTTTTAAGAATCCTTTTATTATCAAGAAACCATTTAAGAACTTGATAATGTAAACAAAGTTATTCGTTTAGAAAAATAATAAAAAATAACTTTATTAATTTCAAGCTCTCAGTGGGCGCAAAATCTCCACTGATATTTTTAATTTGGTAGCATTATTTTTGGTGCCTTTGTCGAATTTTATAAAAGTAGCAAAAAATAATGGCATGGTGTATTTTACCTTATCTTTTCATTATTATTCTTTCTAGCGAATATATGACAGATATGGGATACTAAGCTCTGTCACAAAATCTTAAATAAAATAATAATTTATTTATCATGATACAATTATAATTTAAAATAAAAAATTTCATTCGACTATTCTTAAAATGCTTGGAACTCCTGCCGTTGTACGGATCCCTAGAATCGTCGATCGGTGCGGTGCAGGTTCATTGCAACCCATATATAAGACAGTGAGCCCACGGTCCATCAGTTGTTGTGAACATACCTGCGCATCATGAAGTCTTTCATTGTACTCGCCATTTGCCTTGTTGCCGTGCAGGTAAGTCGCGTATTTTTGTTCAATTTTGTACCTTTAAACAAACTCTGTGAGTTTTACTAATTATATAGAAATTTGAATGTTTTATAGATATCTATGATGATAGATTATGTATCTATAATTTTCCATGCAATAAATTAATTAGATGTAAACATATTAAAACAGTTGTTTACCTCCTAAATTTGGCATTTATTTTAAATTGGTTGTTCGGTTATAAACTTGATTACTGGCTACTAATACAAAACATTTGGATTTTTATATTTGTCCTACCAAACAGAAATGTACTATGTATATTTAATACTACTATAAATCTATAAAACGCATTATTATGGTATTCGATAAGAGTATAATCGTAAATATTATAATCGTTATTTCGTTCCATTAATCATAGTATATACATAAACATTTTTACGTGGTAGAGGCATGCTCCAATTTATTAGGAGTGCAGCACGAATAGCTCACTTTAACAAAGGAATAACGTTGGGTTTAAACTTTAAAAATAAAATAACGAAAACTGGAGACACCTTTTTTAGTTGTAACTAGGTATTCCATGTTAGATCTCAGAGGTGATATCGCACCATCATTTTTATTTGTAATTATTGGATCTGATGGTATAAATAAGATCTAAGTGTCTCTCCCAATTTGAGGGAATCAACCATAATCGTCAAACCTTATAGTGACGGTGTGTCATCTCGTGGGTGTCGTAAGAGGTGATAGAGGGTACCTGAACCAGAATGTGGGCAGCAGCATCTTTTAGATAATAGCTAAATGAAAAAAGAAATTGCGGTTGCATCTATGGCAAATCTCCCCTCTTTTCTGGGTTATATGGAGAGGCCTATGTTCAGCAGTAGACTTGTTAATGGTCTCCATAATCGTCTATGGGTCTATCTATGGGTGAATTGCCATTTGCTGAACCAGAGCTCCTCATGTTATTGTAGAAAAAAGATAATGAACGGGCACACAGTCTACCCTGCAAGTATACGCTGTAGCCCATAGACACCTTCATCAATCATCGATTTAGAATCAGAATGCATACGCATTGTTATACTTGAATTCGAAACATCGGCATTATGCTGTCACCCATTCATGTCAACTCATTCATGCTGCAGCAATACAGATGCAGCGTGACTCTACCACGTTAAAATACACTTTAGTTTTCCACATATCGTTTTAAAGGCATTGAAATTTTGATTGATTGTAGAGATTTCCGCGAACGGAATTGAATAATTGATTTTGATAAAGCATTGGACCAGAAAACATAATATTAATTTTTAAAAAAATTATATATTACCTTTATTTTATTTTAATAAAGAATAGTAATTAATTTTGTTTTTGTAATATTTTAGATCTTTTATATCCAAAATAAGATATTATTAATACACTCTGGTTTATAATCAGTACACCAAGATCAATTAAAATGTGTTTTTCGCAAAGTCTCGAAATAAATGTTCAAAATTTGAAGTCAGTCTTCGTCAAATATAACACCAGGACGTCACCATTGATGATGTAAAGCGTCCGAATTAATACTTTAAATAATCCGTAAATTAGTTCCATTCAAACTCGAAATTCTTTTTTTAAAAGCATAGATTTAAAGTACCCGAGCGAAGAACTTATTTTACATTCTAAGAGTGACAACAGTATTTTCTTTTATAGGCGCTGACAGATGAACAAAAGGAAAAACTGAAAAAGCATAGAACCGAGTGTCTGGCGGAGACAAAAGCTAATGAGGAACAAGTCAACAAGCTGAGGACTGGGGACTTTTCGGTAAGTGGACTTACTGGGACCGCTACATTTTTCCAATTAATAAACAGTATGTACTTAAATAGTAGTCCAGAGGTGGTAATGAAAAGAAATTTGTACGTATTGATGTTAAGTAAAGTTATTACAGATGAAAAGATAACTTATGTTTTGTTAATATAGCCATAAATTTTAGAAAATGTACACAAAATCATACCTATGGCATTAAGTCCGCCGTTTGTACCTTTAGTACAATAAAGTGTATTATCGCATATTCCGCCCTCATAGCCATTAATAGCTAATTAACGTAAAAATGTTTATACTTATAGAAAAGTTATATTATTTTCCCTACCTTACAATTACATACTCTCACACTAAAAAGAGCGTATGTATAAACTAATTTTCTGTGTTATTTGACAGTAAAAATTTGTTCGATACACTTGTTGCTTAAACTCTGCCACCTACTGGGTACAACTATAGTTAAGAACCATTCAGCTGTAAGTACCCCATAAAATTTCATCAAAATAGTTCGAAGTCGTTTGGGAGAAGAGTTAAGAAAACACGCACATCGGAATTTTTTAATATAATACTAACTGGTACCCGGCGCGTTAAGCCCGCTTTTCACTATGGGATATAATATAATATATATTACATCTCGAGATATAAATTAATATCGCTCACCATACATTTCATATGGAACCGTTTACACTGAGCTATAATATATATTACATCTCAAGCCATAAATATTTTTTCGATCGACCAAGCGATATTTTCATATTATATTTCGCCCCCTGTACCCCGCACACCATTCCGCGCCCCCGTAGAACGGTGTACGGGGTTAAGGGGGGTAATCCAATGACCAATCACGAACGCACACTGGTTAAAAGATATATCTCACAGTGTGAAAGCCAATCGCGGGATATAATTTATATTTCGGGATATAATATATATTATATCCCATAGTGAAAAGCCAGCCTTACTGCCGCTGAGGGAATAATTGTGGAAATATCGTTTTAAATTTGGAAAAGTTATGTTGTTTAATTAGGAATAATAATAGATTTATTAATTTTTAATGACAATATATTCAAACTTTCTAATAAATTTGCCGGTACGATACGCGCGCCACCCGCTGTAAGTTAATTGTACTATGCTTAACACCTTCGCCGTTTTACCTCAAGAACAAACAAATATAAATGTTTATATATTAGATATATATTATTTAACTTATTTGGCAATAAAAATCATTTTACATGCAATAACTCGTATACTGCTATAGTAAGTTGTACGTATATCGTACGTTCCAGGATACGTCTAGTATCTATTTCTGAGAACCAGGTCCATATGTTCAATGATTTCTGCCCTAATGTTTTTATGCAATAAATATATTTGTGTATATTTGTATGCATGTATGCAATAAATATTCACTAAAGCAATCGACAACCGTTGGTAGTATGATAGTTGTATAATTATTTTAACCCCATTCACAAAGAAGAGGCACAAAAAGTTTAAGACATTAAAACGTCCCTATTCCAATTGTATAAGGTTCACATCAGTCAACCCCTTATTAGTAAAGTCCTTCCCGCTTGGAAAAGGCTCACAACATTTACATAAAACTACCCGATACAAGGGCTTCTCTACCTCACATTTTAAATAATAGACAAACTGGTCATAAAAATCCCTCCTGAGCGCCACCACCTGCCATACCCCGCTTCTGCAGACGTGATGTAAGGGTAAGGCATCACCACCACTTGCTTCATCTGCACGGCTTCTACCCACAAGTCTAGCTCAACTCAAGGGAATGGGGACCCACGTTGAGCGGCTTTCGGCCGCAGCCTTGAGAGTCTTCTCCCTCCAGCTACCATAATAGTAGATATCGTCAAAGGATAGTTAGATAATAATAATAATATTTCAAACACCAGAAAGGTTTTGTATAACTGACGTTGAGTATATATGCTTTTTTAGATCATATTTGTCTTATTTACCAACAAGTTGCTTTTAATCATTCAAAGTTAGGAAATTTACAGAGATACTTTAATATATTGATATTTCAACAGACGGCCATTGGTAGTCGCAATTTTATTTGATATTTATAACCTGGTCAAGTAATTTGTATTATTAAATATTGTTATATTTTACATCAGACGGCCACTCTTTATAGAAGGGGGAAGCGTTACAGTGTGATGACATCTTAAAAAAAAAGGATCAGTAATATTATTAACAATATTATTCCCGTTGACCACTTCAAGTAAACTTAAATGCTTGCGTTATACATGATCCACGAATTTCAAATTTTTTGTCCGCGGTGCATACCCTTAACCTACACTAAAAAAAAAATGTTTACAATTCCATTTCCGTCGAGTTTCAAACCAATTCACTACTGAACAAAGGCCCATTGTTATCCTGCCACCGCAAACGAAAAAAACATGATTACTGATTTTAAAAGGTTTAAAGCGACTAAAGAGATTAAGAAAAAAACAGTAGTATTGTTATAGCGTTTAAGGTATAAAATAAAGTTTACATAACACACTTTAGTGTCATACCAGACACTGTTTCTATGCAGAGTACTGATTACAGAATTTTAAGACGGTTTTAAATGAAATTACGATTCTATGGTTATCCCGTTCGCGCGTCTGCCATAATTCGATGAAGAATAACGACTCGCATATTTGACGCTGCTATACGTCTTGGTATTTGACGTGTAACGCAATCGTGATGGTTGTATCCAGCCATCAGTCGGAAGCTTTAAGATTTCTCTAATAATTTACGTCTGATACAAACGAAATAAAAATTATAAACAAAGTGAGGTTCTGAAATGCTAGCCTCATGCCGTTAAGCGAAATGTCAGAACCTGATACTACAAACTAAAATATAATGAAGTAATCCTAAAATGTAATTAACTAAACTGTTAGTAACTTAGAAGAAAAATTTATAGTAATTAAAAAATTATATGCTTGCTGATGAGGAAGAAAGTTTCTTGAGTGGCCGCCCACTAGATGGAGTGACGACCTGGTAAGACATGCAGGAAATAGATGAATGCAGGTGACTCAAGACCGTGTGGCCCATACTCCGTGGTGGCGAACGTTTAGCAGTGGACTTGTGGATGGCTGTGATGGCCACTCACATCGGAGGCATTGGATCATTCTGGTATTTTTCATAGTAGAATCTTAGAATGTGGTGGTTCATATAATCCTTTGAAACTATATAAATCACCACATTCTTCCATTATTAGCTCTACTAGCTATCATAGCGAGTATATATTTACTCATTACAGTCTATCAAAAATCCACTGCTGAAACCATAGTTGCCACACTTGGCAAATGGGTTGGCAGTCGTAGTTTACATATATACCTAACCTTTTTATTTTTTCATCTTTCGCCTCTTTCGACACCCACAGGAAGATATGGGGTCGCTGTGTAGTGGTAGCCACTACCCCATATCGTCCCGTTGGTGTCCTAAAAATATGTATTATATCATCACAATTCAGTAGTAGTAATTAAAACATATGAATTTCAAAACAGACTGAGAATGAGGAGCTTAAGAAGTACGTCCTCTGCTTGATGGAGAAATCAGAGCTGATGACTAAGGACGGAAAGTTCAAGAAGGATGTCGCCCTCGCTAAGGTGCCCAACGCAGGTTGGTATAGTTCAAGCCTTGTTTTAATAATTGTTCCATAATAATGTTCTCCATACCAAATTTCGGTCACGGCGGCCAGTCTCAACTGAGTCTAGCCATCTACGCAAGACGGGATTGTAGCGTCCAAGTGTATGCGCAAGCACAGCTTCACTCTCTATTCCCTCACTCTCATAGTCCAATGGGACGGTAAACCGACACGATCGGAGGGAGATCAGGCGCAGCACGGCTAGCATGGGCTGGGGACAAAAATTTTATCCCCCGATAATATCCACTGACAAGAGGTAAAATCATCTTGTCTCTACGCCAAAGCACGGCACCGGGAAGAAGTATATCCCCGTTTGACATAACGAGTAGACATATATCCCTCGTCCGTAGCATGGAGTCAAATTAAAGATAAAAAATATGCTTTTTTGACATTTTAAAGGGACAATTCTATCCTAGTTCATTGGACATGTGTTTAAGTTTATATTCATACAAAAACTCTATCTAAGTCTAAGTCTATCTCCCATTTTATCTACTGTGGATATTATATCCACCGGTATACCCATGCTCGAAGGGTGGATAAAACTATGCGAGGGGATAAACATTTTCTCCTTTCCCCGGGGATAAAATTGTCTCCTGTCTATGCTAGCCCTGCTGGATCAACGGCTTTACGTGCTTTCCGGTGGACTGTGTGCTCGTTATTATCGCCCTTATTCTATAAAAAAAAAGTTATTTCAAAATGTTTATAATTTTTACATTGGCAATGGTAGATTAATTTGTAGGATTATCAGAATATCCTGAATTCATGATCCAGTTGAATACGTTCGTATGGTCTAAACGCCACTCGGATATCTTTTAAAGGACAAAACAAACGACCGTAAAATTTTCCTTGCAACATTTAAATCTGTTTGTTAATATTAGCTTTCTTGATTCGAACCTAGAAACAACAACAAATCCTCTTAACACTTAGCCAAGCCGTCCTCACGCAATATAAAGTGTGCCAACATGCGATGTCAATTCGTCGTCGGATTAGTTCACTCCGGACGACCCTATTACCGAATTCGGTTTAAATTGCGCCGTCATTGGATAATAACGATAAAATATTTGTTGCAGCCGACAAACCTACAGTCGAGAAGCTAATCGACACTTGCTTGGAGAAAAAAGGTGCCACACCACAACAAACCGCCTGGAACTACGCGAAATGCTACCACGAGAATGATCCCAAGCACTCCATCCTGAATTAACTGGTGTGCTACTTTGTAAAGGAAACTAAATGAGAAGCTGCGTTCATGGAAGAAAATTCTTTTTATTCTTTTTAAATGTTCCAAAGGATATAATTTTCAACTATACAGACCGGATTGTTAATGTGATTTGACTATTCCAAATACACGATTTATTGTCTTCATACGAATCTAAAAGTTTGTGTAACTCTCATCAATGTTTCAAAAACTGTATGAATTTACAATAAATTATTATTTTTAAAATTGTTTTCTTTTTTTCTTTTTTTTGTGTTAAAACATAATATCATAGTTGAATACAAGCTCATTAGCTCATAAAAAGGTTATCAGAAAACAACCCGTTGTTTTTTTTAGGAGTAAGTGAGAAATAATTAAAAATTACTGGCCAGACCTTGATCAATTTATATGTGACCACATGAGAAGCACCAGCTTCAAATAAAAAAAGAATCATCGAAATCAGTTCACCCTGTAAAAAGTTATGAGGTAACACACATAAAAAATACAGTCGAAATGAGTACCGGCTCATTTTTGATGTCGGTAGAAAAAGTACAAAGTCCTTTTTCACACTTACTCTGATGGTTATTAAATGCTGTGGTCTAAAGCCAACTTAGAACTACACTTAACATCTATTAAGAATTAAAATGCAGATGCGATCTCAACCCTGAGGACTAATATGAAATGCCGTTACAAGTAAAAAATCGGTACCTACCGGTCTCTGGTTCTCGCTCACTGACTATACGAAGTATAGCAGCATTATGATGCTATTTCACACTGGTGTGCTGACTGATCTGACGGTCTGTTATAATACAAATATTAAATACTGCCGACCCGCTCTGGCTTTGCCTGGATAAGATCTATTAATGTAGCATTAATTACATTTAAGATAATCTTGACCATTTATTTTATCAATATTACGTTTTAATAGAAGCCAATTATTTCATTATTGCATGGAGACACTTCAATTTTATTGATAATTAGTACCTCTCAATCACTTTTATTATATAAATCTAAAATGTACAGACATCGGCTATTTACATTTTTATTATATGTATAGATATGTACAGATGTGCATAATTGATAAAATGAACATTGACCTTTCCTTAGAGACTTTCTAAAGGTAGTCAGTTTGACAAACTGACTACCGATATGGCCTTCTTAGTTACAATAATATGTTACATTGTATTTAAATATAAATTTTTTTTTTTCATTTATTACCCATAAAATGTACAATTATTAATACATATTGAACACAGCGCAAACCACTGAGGTTTAATTGCTGTGCTTACGTTCGCTATGCTTTAAAAAAAAAAAAGAAGAAACAAAGTTACTATACTTATTCATGTAACTATTCGATCTTTGCTGTCCAAAGAACTCACTAGAAAGATCTTTAGTTTGTTTTTTAAATTTTTTTCATTAATTGAATTCCTAAACTCAGGATCCAATTTATTTATGATTCTAGGAATCAAGTATACAGCAGTGCGTCTGCCGTAAGTGTTCCGCGCGGCTGTCGTAACTAACTTGCCGCGAGTGATCGCCCGAGTACCCTTATTATGTTCCACTTTTATTTTAATGGAATTATTAAAAAAATCTTCCTTCAGAAATTGGAGTATGAACTGGTCGTGTACGGGTAGTACGTTGCAATATTTAAATAATTTTATTTCATTTGATGAAAATTGTTTTTTTACGTTAGATGAGACCACTTGTTTTAATATTCTTATTTGTAGATTATATATCCTATCCAGATATGACTTGAAAGTTCGCCCATAACTGGATAGGCCATAGTTGACTATAGAGTTAGCAAACGCGTTATATAAAGCTAATCGTGTCCTAAAAGTCATTTGTTTTTTTATGATTCTTAAGTTTGCGAGGAACGCTCGTAATTTGTCACATACTCGCTCAACTTGGGGGGCCCAGTTAAATGCACTATCAATTACTAATCCAAGGTACACGTGAGAATCTACTATTTTAATTGGTGAATATTAAAAATATTTATTATATAATAATAATAATAAGCATTTATTCATTACCTCCAATAAAGTTAAAATGAGTACATACAGAAATGACAAGAATTACATAATGTAGTAATGAATGGGCTCTAGCTCAGCATAAATGTTGCAGTTGCCTACAACGCTGTTATTCTGCCAGCGCCCAACATACGAACAGTACAGTACGCGCGCATCCCTGCTCATATTCATTGAGCTATTATGTACTACGTACTAGAGGCGACACTGCATTATGTTACGCTGCGCTGTTCCATTCAACTGCGGTGATATTGCCGCACTTTACTCAGTCGCTCAGCGTTGTTCTTGATACGGCAATTGCCGTAATATACGGCATTCAGGTATCTTAGGCAACAAAAATACGGTATACGGCAGCTATTTAATTACCATATTAAAATATACGGTATTTGACTGAGAATTTAATGTCTAAAATCTTTAGTTCCTCATTCTAGTAAGTTCTTCACCTTTACTCGAGTAGGTTCTAAAATATGTGGGGAATCCTCAGAATAATTGTTACTGTGCTGTACCTATTTTGGTTCTGTCATTTAATGCTTTGTTATGCTTTATGTATGATCTATTAGTTAAAGTTAACAAAATGATATCCGCTCAAGCGTCCCAGAAGATACGCGATATTTTTTTTTTTATAGGAGAGTGGGCAAACGAGCATGCGGCTCACCTGATGGTAAGTGACTACCGCCGCCCATGAACAACCGCAACACCAGGGGAATTGCAGATGCGTTGCCGGTCATTTAAAAAGGAGTAGGCTCTTTTCTTGAAGGTCCCTAAGTCGTATCGGTCCGGAAAAATCGCTGGTGGTAAACTATTCCACAAGGAAGTTGTGCGAGGAAGAAAACATCTTCTAAATCGCACAGTGGTGGACCGCCAATCATCCAGATGGTGTGGATGGTATCGGGAGTTCTGCCGCGATGTGCGTTCGTGAAATTTGGCGGCTGGGATTAATCCGAACAATTCCTCAGAGCACTCCCCATGGTAAATGCGAAAGAAAATGCTAAGAGATGCAACATCTCTTCGCAGTGCCAATGAGTCGAGCCGATCGGAAAGGACTCGGTCGTCGACGATTCGAGCCGCTCTGCGCTGGATGCGGTCAAGTGGAAGAAGCTGGCACTGGGGAGCCCCAGCCCAGAGATGGGAACAGTATTCCATGTGAGGCCGAACCTGCGCCTTGTAAAGTTGCAGGCGTTGAGCCGGCATGAAATACTGTCCCGCTCTGCTGAGCACGCCAAGTTTTTAGAGGCGAATTTGTCCTTCTCTTCCAAGTGACCACGAAACTGCACGCTACTCGATATGTCGACGCCGAGGATTCCGATACTGGCCGAGGCAACAAGGGGAGTACCTTGAAACTGAGGAGATACGACAAAGGGGTTCTTTTTAGCGGTAAACGCGCAAACTTGTGTCTTCTGAGGATTAAACTGGACTAGATTTAGTCGCCCCCAATCCGAGACTTTGTCCAGCAAAGACTCGACTTCAGACACAAGTTTGTTCCGGTACTCGGTGACGTTTTCCCGAGAAATATTGGCACGGCCAGTGTATAGAGCATCACCAGTGCTGTCATCTGCATAGCTATGAATGCTACCAGCTTGCAACATATCATTGATATGCAGAAGGAACAGCGTTGGTGATAGCACGCAGCCTTGTGGAACACCAGCGTTAATAGGCTTGTAGTCGGAGCATGCACCGTCTACAACGACCTTGATGCTCCGATCTGCAAGAAAGCTGGTGATCCAATTGCATAATTTCTCGGGAAGCCCATAGGAAGGGAGCTTCGAAAGAAGCGCTTTGTGCCAAACCCGATCGAAGGCCTTCGCAATGTCCAAACTAACGGCCAATGCCTCCCCCTTGGACTCTACTGCCAACGCCCATCTATGAGTTAAGTAGACCAGAAGATCACCAGCTGATCGACCCCGACGAAAACCGTACTGGCGGTCACTAATCAGCTGGTGATCCTCAAGGTACCGCATGAGGTGGCAGTTTACAACGGATTCCATTATTTTGGAGAACAAGGGGGTGATGGCGATAGGCCTGTAGTTGGACGGATCTGAGCGGTCGCCTTTTTTAGGGATCGGGTGGACAAAAGCTATCTTCCATGATTTCGGGACTACGCCTAGGGAGTAGGAGTACCGGAAAAGACGCGTTAGAACCGGTGCCAACTCCGGAGCACACGTCCTCAGCACAATTGGGGGGATACCGTCAGGCCCACTCGACTTGTGGATGTCAAGGGAGAGGAGTGCTCTGCGAACCGAGCGCTGTGAGAATCGCACATCCGGCATGGAGCACTCACACCGCGGGATGGTCGGCGGTGTGTTCCCCCCGTCATCAACAGTCGAGTTGGACGCAAAAAGGGAGCCTAAAAGGTCGGCCTTCTCTTTTGCGTCGTGGGCCAGTGAGTCGTCCTCCCTGTGCAGAGATGGTAGTGATGGCTTACAGAAATTCCCTTGGACAGCCTTGGCGAGAGACCAGAATGCACGGGTTCCCGAAGGAAGGCGAACTAGTTTCTCGCCAATTCTGCCTATGTGCTCTGACTTTGCCTTGGCAATAACTCTTTTGAAGGACCTGGAGGCGAAGTTATACTTCTTTTTGAGTGTGCTGGTGTTTACATCCCGAGTCACCGAAGCCGCAGCCCAGGCTTCATAACACTCCTGCTTACTGCGTAATGCAGTCTTACAGGAGCGACCAAACCAAGGCTGAGATCTGCCTCCGATGGGTACCACAGATTATGGAATAAATAGTTCCATTCCCTGTAGCACTACATCAGTGACAGAGTCAACAACAGCGCTGTGATCATCCGGCGAGAAGCAAACCCGCCCCCATGGGTAGGAAGCAAAGAAAGACCGCATTCCGTCCCAATCCGCCGACCTGTAATGCCAAACACGGCGGCAACCTGCAGAACGCAACCGCGAGGGGAGCGTGAGTGGCACCACACTCCGGATCAGACAATGGTCCGAAGAGCCAAGAGGGGCATCGACGGAAACCTGATATCCGTCCGGA